TTCGTTTTCTTTCTACTCAAATTTCATCATTGCAATCAAACGAAACTTATATTATAAATACAGACAATTGTTTAGCGGCGCGCGCTTTTCTTTTAAGCTAGGTTTTCAATTTTTACTAATTACTGATAAGAAATACAAAATCAACAACTTCCAAAAATCTCCAACCAAAACCACGTAAGTCTCCAGATCGCATACTTTTTTTGTTTAAGTCTTTTATACATATATAACCGGGAAAGTTATATGTTCGCTGGATATTTAAAATTCACATACTTCAGATTATACCCAGGGTTGGATTTTTTTATTTATAATTGTGTGTTTAATTTAAGATGTTGATAGATTTTTTGAGGAGAAATTGGGAAACTGTTGAATATCATTATCATCTGGATTATTAAACCTCAGCTAGTGCATTCCCATGTTCTTTTCAAGTAAAATGAGCTAAAATTTGAAACCTGTTATTGGTTTTGGGGTTGGTTCTACATAGGGAAACTAGTCTGTGTTGATGTATGAAACAAGCATAAAAAAGTAGAAATGGGCACCAGTGGGATTCCGTCCTATCCATGGAGTTTTGTTTCTATTTTGTAACATGTGCCTGTTCAAGTGCAAGCACGCTTTGATAACTCGTGTTGGCTATGTTTTATTTAAAAGAAATTGACATCCAGATAACCTAATTCAAGATCTATTTTTTGGTTTTTACTTTGTATTTGAAGTCATTAAATAAGCTAATAAGTAAATTGTTTTGCACATTAAACATTTTATGCATATCAGTACGGATAAAGTTTGTTTTTATTGCATATATATTTTCAAGCTATATCTTGGTTTTTATGTATTTATATTGACAGCGAACAGAAATACAAGCTTGTAGTGGATCTGCCGTTATGGGTTCTACTCAACTGCCAGTTTGGACCAACGGATCCGTTTTTCCTTTAAAAGGGTTTGGTATGGGTGGATGCTCAAACCATGTTAAATTTAGTTTAGTTAAACCCTGCCAATCATCTCAACTTGAAGAAAACTTAGTCAGTGGGAGGCCACCCTCTTCTGTGTTTATTGCTGTGCCTGAATTTGGAGTTAGTGATCATTCCGAGTTTGTGTAGTTACTGGTCTACATGCATCACAGAATTATTGATTATCATCATATATGCTATATCATATATCTTTTGGAATTTAGTTGCTAATTTGGAGTATGCTAGTTTGCTTGAGTATGTACCATCCATCTACGTCAGGATGCCCATGCGCTTGTGTGTAGATATGTCTATTTACTGTTTATTTCCTTTCTTCTTAAGTTATGCATATGATTCTGGTAGGATAAATGAAAAAAATGACAATATCCCTTGTTTTTAATGTTGCATGAAAACTGAAATTTGATGAGCATGTATTTTCCTGAGACAAACTGCAGCCCTGTAGGGACCCACTTTATAATGTAGAGTGAACAATTACATAAGAATTTTTTCATTAGCTTCCTAGTTAAATTGTCCTTAATTATTAGTTTCCAGTTAACTGTGTTACTTGGTGGAATCAGAGTTATAGTCTTGTATAAAATATAGGGTCTCCATTTTGATCTGTACTCACTTCTAATAAATTTTATAATCTTAGTTTCGATAGCTGGATTTCCTTGAAAACCTAACCTCTGTCTTGAATCTAAGCGGTTCATTTCTGTTGCTTTCACACCTGTCAAATTACTTTTGTGAAGTTTCTTAGAGAAGATTGCTAGATTTAGATTCTATAACCTTCCCTAAAAAACTTTTGCCTTTCAACTATTTCTTTCCTAAACTGTCAAAGTCTATCTTAGACTTGTAGAAAGTAAATTTGATTCTTCATTGCTGGGATTCATTTGATTTTGTAGTTGTAGAACTTATTCACTGGCGTGAATTTGAATTATTAGGTGTTAGGAGTGTCTTTGCAGACTATAACTTGAGTGAATTGATCCCGAGGTTCGTAACATTATTGACAAAGAGAAGAATCGCCAATTTAGAAGCTTGGAACTTATTGCTTCAGAGAATTTCACGTCTCGAGCAGTGATGGAAGCAGTTGGTTCTTGTTTAACTAATAAATACCCTGAAGGGCTACCAGGCAAGAGGTAAGCTCTATGTACATCTATTAGGATGGAGGAAAAGACAAATGGAGAGAGAGACAATTTGACATTGTCTTGAATTTATCATTATCTATGGTTGAAATTTTTTATTGGTTCAGGTACTACGGTGGCAATGAGTACATTGATGAACTTGAAGTTCTTTCTCAAAAGAGAGCTCTTGCAGCATTTGGTTTGGATGCACAGAAATGGGGTGTAAATGTTCAACCATTATTTGGTTCTCCGGCTAATTTTGAGGTTTACACCGCAATTCTTAATCCACGTGACCGTTGAATGGTAAGTTGTATGCTGCCCGTGGTCATTTGAATCAATGTATTGGAATACCTAGATTAACATATGCTCTTCTGTATTCTTAATTCACTTCAGGGATTGGATTTATCTCATGAAGGACATTTATCCCATGGGTTCATGACTCCTAAGAGAAAGGTGTCAGGCACATCTATTTATTTCGAATCCATGCCCTATTAGCTTGATGAATCCATAGGTCTGCATCTCTGTTATGAATCAGGTTGCAATGTTGATTCATAGTTAAACCATAATTATTCACTGATTTTGAATTTTTTTTAAAAAGGCTTGTGGACTCTGATATGCTTGAGAAAATAGCTACCCTCTTTCGACCAAAACTTATTATTGCTAGTGCTAGTGCTTATTCTCAAGATTTTGACTATCCACGCATGAGAAACATACATTTATATACTAATTTAAGTCACCGTCATTTTACTATAGAAACTTCTTCTGTTGTTTGCACTTGGTAGCTTCAAGAATCTAATTATTTGTTCTTAATATGTCTAATAGATGGCAGATGTTGTTGGTGCTTTTCTCATGATGGATATGGCTCACATCAGTGGACTTATTTCTGCTTCTGTTGTTGCTAATCCTTTTGAGTATTGTGACATTGTAACAACCACAACACACAAGATAGGTCTTGATTCTTGAACAGAGATATAAACCAAGAGGTTCAAAATCCTTTTATGTCCTTTCATAAATTTTCTCATGAGACATAATGGTTATGAGTTAATTCAAACTTGTCAAATCATCGAGGTAGCAACCTTTTCTATAGTTGCCATACATCGTGTAAACTAATAACCAACTCATTATTTTGTACTTTTCTGGAGCTGAAGAACCATTTGAAGATTTAACATTTTGGCAATATCACTGTACCAATTAATTTTTAATCCTTCCTTTTAAAATATCTAGCTCCCAGAGGTTCCAAAAAAAAAAAGGGGAAGAAGAAGAAGACACCAATACGGGTGATGAAAGAACAAATATTGTGGCATTCTTTTCCAGTTAGAAAGAGCTTGAGAATCATTTTAATTGTTAATCAGCTATTGGATATGTTTGATTAGAATTTTGAAGCAATATTGTACATATCATTAGCCAATCTTCTTGTTTGGTAAACGTACGTGTGTACAGTTGACTATTTGATACAAGCTTGGGATTGAGCAGCTTGCCTATTACAACTATGTTGAGTTTATACATATTTTCTGTGTTAAACATAGCTATTTTGATATGTGGCATTCTTTAGTGCATATATATAACTTTGACATATTTCTTCAGTCTCTCAGGGGTCCTAGAGGCGGCATGATCTTTTTCAAGAGGGATCCTATTCTGGGGGTTAATCTAGAATCTGCCATTAACAATGCTGTTTTCCCAAGTTTACAAATTTGTAATTCCCGGTTTTACCGGTTATTATTCTGGTGAACATGATATAAATAGTCATGTTTTGGGCCTCAAAATTAATATACTGAATGTAAATTTTTTTTAGCTAATCAAGAAATTTATTACCTCGAGCAGGGAGGTCCACATAACCACACAATTGTTGGACTTGCCGTTTGTTTGAAAAATGCAAAATCACCGAAGTTCAAGGCTTATCAAAATCAGGGAAATGTTGACTTATTTTGGCTAATTCATAACCCTATATAACTCCATATGTGACCATTATTTCATCTCTCAAGTTGTCTCTAATTATAGAGCTCTTGCAAGCCGCTTGATGGAGTTGGGATACACCCTAGTCTCGGGAGGCAGTGATAACCATTTAGTTCTTGTAGATCTCCGGCCCTTGGTGAGTTTCTGGTATCTAATTCTATTTCATAGTTGTAAACTTAAAAACTCGTAAAATGTGTCATAGTTTTTTATATCAATCAACCCTTGCCTATTTGCATAGGGAATTGACGGTGCTAGAGTGGAGAAAATTCTTGATTTGGCATCCATCACCCTCAACAAAAATTCAGTACCTGGTGAGTTCTCTGCAACTTTGATGTCATAGACTCGTATATGCTTAAACTTTGAATTAATTGTGATGCACAAGTGCCATGTTGAACTTAAAGGTGATAAAAGTGCACTAGTACCTGGTGGAATACGCATAGGATCACTTGCTATGACTACCAGAGGTTTCAATGAAGATGAGTTTGTGTGCGTTGCAGACTTTATTCACGAGGATGTGCAAATTACTCTAGAAGCTAAGAAGTG